GGGGGGGGGGGGGGGGGAAAGCACCTAAAAGAAGTTGTGCTTTGTGTGTGCATGCGCTTTGCATACAGGTGGTCGACGACAACCTTGTGAACCGTATAGTTGCAACCAAGATGCTTAAGCAGTTTGGATTTGAGGTCATCGCCGTGTCAAGAGGATCTGATGCTATTGAACTGATGACCCCCTGCAACCATGGTTTTGACGTCATCTTTATGGACGTTCAGGTATTCCAGGCACATTCCATCAAGCTTGCGGAGATCAATGGCTTTCTTAGTTGTGAAAGCACTCTTTTCGTGTTGGATTCTCACTGGCTAGCTCTTGTGAATTTGGGAGTTGCTTGACTGCATTCTGCAATGTTTGGGTTCATTCTCTTCTCTATGTAAATATCTGTGAACCCGTGAATCATACATCTGCATAGTCCCCCTTCGCCGTGAGCTCTCATTGAATTTCTAATGATCAATCACAATTTTGAAGTCCCAACGTTATGCACGGAGATGTTCCGGCTTTACAGCCAGGGAGCCGAGTGGTACAGACATGTAACTGTCAGTAAGCAGGTCATGAGTTCGAATCCTAACAGATGGAGACAGTAAGGTTAGCAATATCAGGAAGGTGTGTGAAGCGAACACTGCGATTGCGCTCAGATGTAAGGAAGTGCAAGGCATGACCACAGCTGAGGACCCCTGAGTATGATGCCAAATGTCCAGAGGGGTGGAGTAGGGACTGGTGATATCCGCCACGGCAGGTCTCAAGGAGCTCGGAGAGCCACTAAGGCCAGGACATGCCTTAACTACCGATTAGCAGGTCTGCACCTGCCAGTTTGCTTTTAGGGCAGGAATGTTAGTAATCTGGAGCTGGCCAGTCCTTAGGCGTCAGGCTGAGGCCAGTAGGTCCAGCAGCTGGCCGAGTGGACAGCACACCTGGAGTATGTGTGGGCAGGGAGTGTGCGTCACGTATTGCCAATGTGCTTACCACTGTTCAGCCTTGGGGTGTAGGGAAAGGAAGGCCATCATAGCCAGACCTTGGAGTGGCCCTGTGTGGAAGATTAAAATTGCACTTGGTGAAGGACTCCCAGCAGGATCTGTGTTCTGTACCAGTGGTAGCGGAGAGGTGCTGCAATAAATGCGGTTTCTGGTCGGAAAGGAAAAGAGTCTTGAAGTTGGTGACGGCGGAT